TATGGTTATCTGGGACATAGCTATTCCATAACAGCCAACTGTACGACTGAATAGAATTGATGCAACAACTGGAGAAAGCAGAGGATTTCTAGTTTAATGTCTTAAATAAAGACATTTTGTCTTAAATATCAAGAGGGAGTTCCAATAGCTCAATACCTAGGGGGAAAATGATATAAACTGACATACCATTGCATAGAATGGCTTTTTAAGATATTGTACTTTAAACTTTGTTGGTTCTTCATATAAAAATAAGGAGATGTGGTATGATTGCCAGTGAGACAACTATCCCCATTACAGTTGGTTATCCATGTCCTGTTAAGCACTTTAACAAACATTTGGTATTTTTCTGTTACCATATGGTGTGTTTCATTGAAGTAGAAGTAAACGCGATGACGTCTTTCACGTTCAATTTTCTTTACAGGTGATATATTTTTTTTAAAAGAGTATTAAAAAACAAAGCCTCTGTCAGAGGGAATCGTGAGAAAATGACAAAGAGAAGAAAATTAATCAACAAGTCTGATTGTATGATATCTTTCAACAATCAAATCTGCTTGATAGAGATGTTGTTTTCAGAAAACAGCACCGGATTTGAAACTTTGTGTTTAAAATAATCGAAAATTGAGAAACCTACTTAGTAAATTATTAAATACTGCTTGACAAAACTAAAACTGTATTATACTTTAGAAAATGGATCGATATGAGTTATCAATAGTACCCCAGTAGTTTTAATTAAGGTATCACTAGGTGTTAAAACGTAAGCGGATTAGACACTATATAATTCCGTTTTATGTTAAGGGTGGTGTTTTGGTGCATAATAATATATACATGGGTAATAAAGATCTCCTACCCATGTTACATAATTGATCGTTGATTGGTGTCTAAACATGAATTTAATGGATTTTGCTCATTTTTGAAGGCCATACGGTGACCTATAGTTGTTAACTTCTACGTCATTTAGTCTCTGTAGGCGGGTTGTCTCATTGACAATCATACCACAACTTATTATTTTTATATTGAAGTAGGACATCGTCCAGTATCTATGTACCCGATTCATTGTCGAAAAGAACACGTTTTCGTACAAAATTTCAATCAAATATGCGTTATATTGAATTTGTAAAACATTTAATTGGTTAATTGTATCTTCTTAAAAATGAAGTTGAACCACAATTGATGCAAGTTTACCATTCAACATGTTTAGCTGACCTTGCGCGACTAGAACTTGCATATCGTTCCATCATTGGCAAAGTAGCTTTGAGTTACGTTTATGTGATATAACCGATGTTTTTAAAAAAAAAGTTCTGTGTCAGAACCTCTTTTTCTTTCCGAGAGATCTTAAATAAATAAATAATTATTTTTGCCCTTTTCTGATGTATATTGCTAGTATTCTTATATTAATCATTACGTAACTGCTTTCTTTATTTTTTTTCCCCCAATTATGTGGCAGTAAACACCAACTGTATGGAAATTTGGCCTGAATCCAATTCCGTCTGATGGTATACTTATATTTTATAATTTCAACGGTATTCAAACATTTCTGCTTTAAACTAGTATTCAGAACACCTTGGAGCATTTTCATATTGACAAAGTTTCATATAGTCTAAGATTCAAAAGCGTTATTTATAATCTTGTCCTTGTATGACAGGCTTTGTCCCTGTTAGAAGAGAGCATGCATGGTAGGTCCATAGTAAGCCGTAATGGTGCCAGTTTAAAGAAACAGGAAGTAGTATAAGCCAGGGTCAAATGTGAAAACTTTATAAGTGCGACAGTTTGGTTTTTATTCGGAACATTTTGTTGTTGGTGTCTAAATATATCAGTGAATTAGATTAAAAAAATACTAAGAAAGTTTGAATAACACCGAAGTTGAACCAAAATTCTTTATTCAGCGATTTTGTTTGTGACAGTCTTTAATGAATGTAATACACAACTATAAATACCACGTAATGATAAATATAAGTATATGGATTGAGGTTATATCGTTGCCCCGGGGGTCTGTCAGATGTCCTGTACATCTATCATTTCGTCACTCATTTTGGTGAATAATTAAGTTCTCAAACCTTTGTACAAGGTAAACGGCTCCAAAATTATTCACCTTGCATTATACTAACGAGTTGTGTATGAAGTTGTTTGTCATTTTCTTTTGTTTATTCAATTTAACAAAATTTGCACAGGGCTCTTAATACACACATCTCTTATAACAATTTCACTGCAATCTGTTAACACGTATTTTACGGAATAGATCTTAGAACGTGCATTCTGTAGCTCTGCTGTCATATAACCTTAGTTTTATCAGAGACATATAATACAATCTCTGGATTTGTGTTATGATTTTGAATCATTGTGGTTCTTATTGGATCATTCTCATCTTCTCAATTTTTAATTCTGTCGCCTGTTTCTTGTTTTCTGTATGTGTTTGTCATGAAAATTTTGAGTGAATATAGAGTCCGCATCAGTTGACAACATGCGATTACATTCTGATGTAAAGGCCTGTTGACACCTCGGATAATGCAGTGCATGTGGTAAAAATTGCGAAAAGTTGTCCTTAAGTATTCTTGTCGGAAAATTTTCTGGTTGTATTCTGGGACATACCAACTGAGTTTAATAGTCCCAGTTGTATGACACCGTCCAAAGAAGGACAACTCCCTGAGCAGTTGGTTAGCTGTCAAAGTATGTGAAAACATGTTATGAATATTTGATTATACTATTGAAAATAAAATCTTTCACATGCGGGTTTTTGTAAATTTCCTTAAGTATTCTTGTCGGAAAATTTCGAATTTTTTTTCTGGTTGTATTCTTGGACTATTATACTAACTTAGTTTAATAGTCCCAGTTGTATGACACCGTCCAAAGAAGGACAACTCCCTGAGCAGTTGGTTAGCTGTTAAATTATGTGAAAACATGTTTTGAATATTTAATTATACTATTGAAAATAAAATCTTTCACATGCGGGTTTTTGTAAATTTTGTAAAGTGCTATAAAAGTTAAAAATCCCACCACAAAAGGCGTTAACAGCATTTTAATCAACTCTGATTATCAATTTTGACTGCATTAAAAAAGATTTTATATTTCGATAAATACCATATTTATATCATAAAGCGAGATTTTCTTTTGGCAGAAACATTCACAGTATGATCCTGTCAAATTTTAATGGAATAAGACTGTCTTTGTTACTGATATTTTCATCCGATTCTAATGTGTCGCCTCGAGCTTTTATGTATCCAAAATATAAACATAAAAATCTTCTGAAAAACGATACATCATCACTTTAATTTTGACCACATAGAGTGAAGTTGAAGAAATATAAACCTCTGATAAACCTCTGTTGGTATGGGTGGGCAGTAAAATGATAAAACTCAAAAAATACAAATTCTCATGAATTAAAACGTAGACTCAGATTTATTTGAAAATCTGTTTTTTAATCTTTCTGTTTACAAGAATTGTACATGATTATGATAAAAGTGACATATCATTGCTATACTTCATTCTTTTTTTATGATTTTAACTTGTGAAAAACACAGTGGAAATATGTTGTGTCTGTCAGTTGAATTTAAAGCATGTGCAAGAAATATTTCATACGGTTTACGTTTTGTATATTTTCGAATTGTTAAAGGTGTATCAGATTCAATCAAATTCTTGTTTTAAAATCTTTTCTTATATTAGGGATACTGCATGTACACAGAAGAGAGTGTATCGTAACCCTCCCCCTTTTTCCCCGAATAATGAATGTGAATTCTTTTTTATACAAAAGAACGGCAACATTGAGCCCAATAATTCTCTTTGTTATGCCTACACATTTTTAGGAACCTATGTGCCTACATCCCAGTTTTTCTTCACAAGATGGGCAGTTGGACATTTTTTTTTTGCAAAATCCTACATGCAACCCTGGGTATGTGATATCGAAAGAAAAATGTACGTTACACATACGTGCAGAAATGCACATGTATATTTATAAATTGCCCCATAATAAAAGGTTTGTTAGGCAGCTTATATTTTACTATTCCGAATTTTCAATCTTACTTTATGGGGGGTTTGTTTCAAATACATCTTAGCATTTCATATTAGATCTCTTTCGGATGGCAGAAGTCTTGGTTTACATAAACAGACATTTTTACTTATTTCACAATGACTAATATTGTTTTTAAAAAGATTATTTGTTATTTGCGAAATAGCATTATTGATCAAATCTTATTATTTGGAACTATTTGAATGAAACAATATGACCATTTTACATTTATTGACATACCACTAGAAAATTGACCCAGGGTTAGATCCGGCATACACTAAATGACTGCGGTATCGCGTGACTGTGTCCTATCCTGTGGTTTCGGGTTCCAAGTCTCGATTACTCCGTATTTGTTAAAGAATAGTCAATGAAAATACTTTGTAAAAATAATTTGATTCGTGTTTTCATTATTTGTTACAGTTTTTTATATAGAATTTCCAAATTTTTGAATATTTTCTTATGTTATTGGCTTTCATTTTTCTATTTTGTATATTCTTATCGCCTCGATCTCCTTAATTTATTTTTTAAACTAGCAAGAAAATAATGAATGTAGGATATTTTTTTTTATATATCACAAATGAGATGTTTCACTTTTATTAAGTGTCCACAATCTGTCATGTATATGATAGATAAACCTTTTGACTTTGTTTTCGACCAATTATCGTATGCATACTTAATATAAACTAAACTCCGCCTTAGTCTTATGTTCTTATGTGGGCGGATACAGAGGCGGAGTCATTAAGCCGTCAGTTGAAAACCAATTTGTTTGTGTTTATGTTATGTTAATCATGTCTAAAAGGTTGCAACCCACTTTTATTGCAAATATTTCATGCGAGAACAGCAAAAAATATATTTCATGTGATAAATTTGTTCTTTGTGAAATTTAAACATGTAAAAAGAACATTTTTTTCTGTCATACAGAATTATGTTACAATTTTATGTGTATTTAATATTCATCATTTAAATGTTGCATGTTTTAATTTGAAAATTTTTATTTTAGAATTCGGTGAAGATAGCGTTTTTGGTATGTGAAATTTGTTTATTACTATTTAATACTATTACGTTTTGTTAACCCCCTCCTTTACGCACACACCTAGCAATACATGTACAGTGCATGACATTTGTAAAAAAACAACATTCCCATTTCCAAAAAAAAAAAAAATGTATTTCTTTGCTATAAACTTTAATTAGAAATAATGTACTTAAGGTTAAACATTCTTAATTTTTAAGACTATTTTAATTGAAGCCTTTTTCTTAAAACATCTTGCAATGCTAGTTAGTGAAGCAGAAATGTTGATATTGAAAGTCATTTTAAAATACTTAAAATTATCAAACATGCCATCAAATACAAATTGCCTCAGATCAATATATGTGTTTTAATTAAAATTCTCCCAGATGATAGATGACTGCAATAAATTCATACCCGAAAAACAATTTTGTTGAAAATGTAGTCTTTTTATGGATTTAGATATAAAAACAAATATCAAACGTTCGAAATTTAAACATTTGAGATCATTAAGTAACTAAAACATCAGTTCGTTAAAAACATAAAATATGAAAAAATATTATGCAGATTTTAAAGAATCAAATTGCTGCATTAGATCGTTAAGTCCACAACATTAGTAAAATTTTCAGATAATTTTTAAAACATTAATCAAATACTTGCAAAGCAGAAAATAATGTAATTACTCCATTCGGCGGTGCGGTTCGTCGCACTTATCAAATCTGTCGCGCGAGGTGAGAATTTAATGGGAGCAAAATCAAAATTTTCGCCTTAATGCCCAGATATTTTACAACAAACCTAATAATCTGTAATGGACACCTCATTACAAATATAACGGTTTACAATAAAACCAAACTTTGATTAAACCTGCCCCTATATTTAGATTTGTTGACAACACATGACAAAACAACAGACCTCTTGGAAGATTGATCAAATTTACTTTTATTATTATTACTATAACTATTCTTCATGTTGCTAGTATAAGCTAAATCATTTGACTAAGACACTGGTTTTATAATAATATTAAATTTGAGGTTTCAGTACTAGATGGTATATTTAATAGAAATGTTTACAAAAAAAAAATGATAAATTTGTATGAACCCAACACCCAACAATTGAAGTGTTAAATGGCTCCATTTATATACTGAACTTTTGGTGATTTTATGCAATCCTTGCATGACGAATTGGGTGGTTTTTGACAAAACATTTGTAACATTAATTTGCATGTATTCAGAAAAATAATAATTTTATCTTTCTGATATTTTTTAACTTTTTGTGTTCTGGTAGAGGAATTTTCTAACACTTATTTATATGTCATGGTGTAAATATTAAAATATGCACCTTCCCTGCATAAATTGGCTATTCAATAATGAAATCTTGGCAATTAACGGAGAGATAATGAAACGTTTATATTAATTAAAACTCATCTTATCTCGAACGTTATACATCTTAAAGAAACCACGTCTGGATCTTCGCTAGATAAAGACAAGCAATTGGTCTTTGATTGTCTCATTTAGATTAATAAGAGAATAACGATTATGAAGAAAGACCCACGGGTAAGGTAAAAAATGCTTTCATCAGATCTAAAGTCATGCTGAGGAATAAATTTACATTTAGATATTCAATTCGCTTTCCCACGCAGGTATCAGAACAAGATTAAGAAAAGTAATCATTTTTCCAAATTATTCCTTTTCTAGATATTTAGATATTTCATAAAAAAAATGGGTTTCATCTTTGTGTTTTTACTGGATTAGTCAATATCACCTCCCAACAACATTTGCGAGAGCAATTCAAAATATTGTCTATTATAATACACGGATCGGATGCTGGAACGACTGAAGAGAAACCCGATTAGAAAAAAATATATTTGTGTGTGATGCTATTACTATTTTGTTGATGAAATCAGTTTTAATGTGATTCACAGGCGTTACTCCGTAACCATCAGAGTGAACAGTTTAACGGTAAAAGGTTACTCTGAGGCGCGTGTCTGACCATTTTTTGACAAGATCACAAACAAATTATTAGCAGTAAAACAAGTGTCTTGTAAAAATTGTTCTCGCCCACTTTGTTAACAATCGTGTTTATTTGAACGCATCACAGACAGTGAATGTCATTTTGCCGATTTGCATGCGATCCCTTTATCTTTGTGTATGAGGACGGAATCTTCTTATGAGGCGAGCTTGTGCATTCGTTACGGATAACGTTTTGAATATGAATGAGCCCGATTAGGCGAAAGGATGCGAATGAAACTTGTTTATTAAACGATCTGACACCGGGATGTATTGATGTAACGTTTCTATTCACTTCATTACTGTTCTTACAACTTCGTTTCTGGAAGAAAATTCCTTTACTATAACTAATTAACATTGGCTAGCGATATTAATATACTTCACAGTGTTTTGAACTCATTTGTGTTAACAAAAAAAAAAACAACCGAAAAATGATATACTTAGGTGATTCTATGCCGTACCCGTATCAGCCCACTTATAAGCAAGGGCCTTACTGTGACTTTAGCAACCCCTGTGCTTACCAAGGGGTAGGGCCAGTGGTGTCAAATTCGGCCTGCAGATTTAGTTCCGTTTCGCCAAATTATGGACATTACGCTTTTCAACACGGCGGATGTAATGCATTTTTCAACAGAAAACCAACTCGAATAAAAGGTAACATTTTATGTCTTCAAACATTTAATTTTCTTGTTAATTTGAATATTTTACTGTAGTTTTATTAAGATAAAATTAATGTTTCCTGTTCTATTTCTATCTGACAAAGATCATTCCTTTTAAAAATCTACAATTTAAAGCCTGTAAATTAACAAAATCATCCATATAACCGAGTTTAGAAATTTAACATTTTTTATAATTAAAAAAAATAAACACACTGACAAAATCTCAAGAAAGAGGAATATTTGAAATCTTATAACACAATTTCTTGAAAAATAAAAAGTACAATTACAAGAAAAATATATTTTAAAATTCTGTTACACCTCCAATAAAGATATGTGTATGGAAGATTTATTTTGTTTCTTTGTGGTAATTTACGATCTAACAGGAAGAAATAACGAAGTCTGCATAATACATTTAGATAATATCAGGAATATCAACCGCTGGATCAAGGGATGTTGCTGTGTATTGTAGAAATTACCATAAATTTATGTCTACTTTACAGGCAATGAGAAAAGCATATCTTATGAATCAAAAGACAAGTAAAAGATTTTTCTGTGACAAATTTCTTAAGATGATTGATAAAAACAATGTTTCATTGCAATATGTGTCATACATCTTAATATTGGTTTGAAATCGAGGAAATAAAGGAAACATTTGTGTCTGGCGGTTATTTACGACCCGAATATATATTGCCTGAAATTTATTACAATTTTTTTTTAACATGATGGAAAAATTCTTTGTTGGGAAAGGAAAACGTTTTTTCTTGATAGATCTCGCTCATCGTTCATTGATTATCATCAACGCCAGAGGGTTTGAGAAGTAAAATCACTTTTTTTCTCCTTTGAACTTTGAAAAAGCCGACAAAAAGTTTTAATGTATAGTGTTATCTGCCCCACATCAAACAATTTATATTTTTATATAAAATACAAAAATAAATGTACGTGGCACAGAAACACTTTTATGAGCAATACAAATTTGTACCATTAACACAAACATTTAATTATTTAAATACGGGACGAATTCGTGTCCCTAACGATATAAATTTTGATAGTACTTTTTAATAATCCTGCATAAAATAACAATTTATTACTACAGATTACTGTTATTGAAAACAGAAAAACGTTGGTCTAATATGAAGTTTACGTGTTGAAAATTATCAGTAGAAATCATAAATTCCAATTGTCTTTTATCTCTAGGTGCTTAGTAAACAACAAACAGACATATTAATAAATGTTGCCATATATAAGTATGAAAATATTAATAAATGTTATAATAAAACGAACGAAAAATGATTTACAAGTTGTTTAACCATTTACTAATGTTTCCATTGTCTGACCTCTGTTTTTACTTCATTCATCAAAATTTTCACAAAAAGAATAAAATACTGATAAACGACGGATATGTCCATCTCACTAGTCCATCCTTAACTAAACATGGACGAATGACGTATCAAATTTTTACAACTATCAAGTAACAAAATATCTAGCAAATTACCACCAATAAACTTATTAACTGATGAACTTGATTGTTATTAGATAAATTTATTACATTTTTTTAAAAAGTTTAATAAGAAAAAAAGTTGCTTCCGATTCAGAAGTTGACTCGAAGTATGACAACTTGTACCATGGAGACAAACATTTAATAAATAATAGTTTAACAATTGTAGGTATTAAACCATATATTTACATAAAAATTCTTTGCACCCTTATGTTTTTATCGCCTCTTTATGTAAATTTGAGATGTAGTGAAAGAGAAAATGACAGTTTAAAAGGAGATTAAATGATAAGAGTTATCTGATCTGGGTCAATTAAGGTCTTTGAGGGATGAGTAAAAGAAGGAGTGAAAATTGGCGTGACGATGTTTAATAGGACAAGATATTAGTAACAAGTGCACGACCAATTTTGTGCTACTATTATCACTTGCCATGACATTTTTTGTAACCCGAAGACTTTTATCTCCATGTAATATTTTCCCTCAAGCAAGGAAATGATAGACTAGCGCAAATGATCTGTTTCATTGGGAATAACAAATTAACATGTTAATTATTCCCCAGTTTGAATTAATTAATTAATGGCAAAACAAATAAAATAAGGGGGGTGGATATAATTATATAGTTACAATTTGGGAAATGATCTTTGGTAAAACGAAGTTTATAGATAAAGGCGAAATAATATATTTATGTAGGAAATTGGAAGTTCATGATTCTCGGCATAACTACATGCATGCTTTATGTGGGCAATGTAAAAGGGTATAACTTATTATAAGAAGAACGAATAAGCATTGCAGCAAATGAAAAATGTGAAATAAAATAAAGTAATGCACGAGATAAAATATGATTATCAAATGATCATAGTAAAA